TACTACTATTGGAATCACAAAAATTAGCTCTACAACTTTTAATTAAGCAACATAAAAGAATCACTTAATAAAAAAAATACTTTTATATGTAAGCAAGCCAGATTTCTACGCTATAGAAATTTACTATTAAATCTCGCCATGATTTATTATAAAATGTTAATCATTTTATACCCTTTAGAGGTGATCTACCTCTTAAAAATTTCAGATAATAATGTAATATAATTTGTTAATTCTTTGTATAAATATAAATAGCTATATTATTATTATTATTATTATTTTATTTATTTTTTTTTTAATAGATAATTAAAAAAACTTCTATATACTTTCGTGTAAAAATGGATATACCAACCTATTGAAATTCATCTTTTTTAGCTTGGGAATGCTTTTTACTAATTAAGAATACAATCAATACTGTTATAACAATATTAACTATCTCAAACATACCAGAAGACCAAAAAGATGTAAAGAGATTAAAAGAAATTTAATTAACTAACGATGAATAGGATTTAATGAAAGATCTTGTTTATATCTTAGGACCTTTTTTTGAAACTATAAAGAAGCTTGGTGGTTCTGAATATATTATAATTTCTTATATACTTCTGTCTATTTGGGGGGTTAATGAAAAATCTAATCACTTCTACAAGTTATAGTGATGATAATGATGAATTAAGTAAAGTAAATTTTAAAACAGATAATCTAGTATTTGATGATAATATTGGATTCATTGATTCTGAGGAAGAGGAAGATAAAGGCCCTAAAAAAAGAAAAATTAATATAAATACACCTACAAATACTAAAAATATGAAATATAAAATTAAAAATGCACTATACAATATGCTTTTATATTATTAGGACTTATCTAATAGTAATATATTTCTTGTTTGCCTCCTTGATCCAAGATGTAAAAAATTGAGGTCTGCAGTACCAACCCAGAGATGCCAAACTGAGCCTGTATTTTGCAATAAATATAATAGATTAAATCTCTTCATAAAGCCTCAACATTATCTGATAAATCTTTTAGCCCTTGTAAAGATCAAGACAAACAAGAAGGGCAATATTAGATTTATCAAAAATTATTTTTTAAGACAGTTTTTATGCAAGATACTTCTGAAGAGTTAAATGATAAGCTTGATAATTACCTTTCTTTACCTGAAATCCATTATAAATCTAACCCTTTTAACTGGTAGAATTCTCAAAAAACTTTTTTCCTGTTCTTAGCAAGCTTACAAGGCAATATCTCATGATACCTGCAACTTCAACTCCATATAAATGACTTTTTAGCAATACAAGTAATATAATAACTATTAGAAGAACAATGTTGAAGTCTAAGTTATTTGAATATATTGTTACAAAGTAAATTGTAACACAGAGTAATACTAGCGTAGTATAGTATAGAAAATATTCTATTATTGTATTATTTATTATATTATTATATCATAGTATTATAGTTATCATTATATTATTATTATATTATTAGTTATAGTTA